CTTAAATGTCAGTTAAATGCCATCTGCCCGTCATATGCAGCTTATAAGAAAAAAAATATCAGCGAACATATCAGCATTGTAGAAGCAATGCGCATTGAGCATTTATGACTCCTTACTCCTTAGTCATCATGTCGCTCTCTGGGCACTGTCAGCCAAGACGCTACGCACAACTCCGCCGGCTTTAGGCACCGCTCGACCGTCGCCCGTCCCCGCTCCCCGCCACAGCGAGAGTGACCGCGCGCCGGCCCGAAACCGCCGAAGGCCAAGACCACAGAGGCGGGGCTTAGCTGTGACGTCATAACGTATCACAGACTGACTGGTGATAGCCTCTACACACCGGATGAAAATCTTGCTCGAAATTTAACATTACGAGTCAATGACAAGTGCCTGAAATATTGAAATGGCGATAAAATATCTAAATTGTAAAAGTTTCGGCCTGTCTTGAAACGGCCATGTCCTGAGCTTGGTTGAAATTCCTTCACGCATTTAAAAGTAATCGCGAAAAATTAGGGTCTCAAGGGGTCTGGCGTTAACAGTAAGCAGCCAATACACAATGACACATTGGCTACTATGTGGTGCTTACTTGTTATTGCTTTGTATTTCTGGCTGGTATACTTCCTGGTTGCGCTTCGCTCCAAGCACATCACCATTTTTATTGACCAGGACATTGACGCCTGCGATGAAAAAATATTCGAACTCAGCTTTAATCTGTTAGACAGTTCAACGTCTCTTATGTATGATATCGCTTCCGGTAAGTATCCCGACGGAGCTGTCCTAGAGCTTGCGACAGTGGACCAATGGCGGCATTAGGCTCAGAGATGACGCTACGTAGGCTCAGAGTTGCTTACATCTTGTGGTTACTTGGGCTGCCTAACACAAATAGGTAGAGGTGACCTATTCCATCAAAGGTGTTTCAAGCCTATAGACTCCCAGTGATTTATACGATTGCAACTCACAGCCGATAGTATTCGACAGCGGAAGGTATTGACACGGGCCGAGGGGGCTCAGATAAGCTGACGCCGAAGGACAATTCATTGTTCGATAGAAGTCAAAACTATTTTCTGAGAGAAAGGGGGAAAGGGAAGGCGTCAAGGCAGAACGCATACCTACCTACGAGCTCCAAGTGTTGCAATCAAGGCAGGGCATTAGCATAGCTTAGCATTGCTTTGTGTGGGCTTGCAGAAGTTCGACTTTGGTGCCAGTTTTGCAAAAGGCACGTGCCTCTTTGGTGCCTCCTGTGCCGCTCCGTCCTTCGAATGACGACTGACTGGTCATGTGGTTCAGCATTGACGGCACGTCTCCGAGCCGCTGCCCGCCCAGACCGTGTCACCCCAGAGCGCAAAATCGAGCGGGACTCCAACCCAACACTGGTGGCCACTGACCCGACCCCAGTCATGGGGACCCCGCCGACCCGGCTCTTGGTCACCCCGCTGACCCGGCCCCTCGTGACCCTGCTGACCCGGCCCCTGGTGACCCCGCTAACCCGGCCTCTCTGGTGCTCACTGACGGGCCCCCTTTCTGGTACCCCGTCTCCGTCCTGTCGCCAGTGCCAGTTATCATTCTCGCCTGCTCCAGCCCCCGGCCGACCTCGGTCAGCCGTGCTGGCCGCGGCCCCGTGCACCTATCAGACCGCGATAACACATCAGGGCCGTGTCGGCGCTATCTTATCACGGTCCCGCGCCGTATACCGGGCCGGGCTGCGGTGGTAACAATCGATGGTCGGCCCACACCACACTGCTGCGTACACGGAGTGCCGCGGCGGCCGTGTGCCAACAGGTGGCCCTTCCCAGGCCCCGGGGGACGCCGCCGCCGCGCCGGCACCGACGACTGCTCCGCCGACACGGCGCGGTCAATATTTGTTACATATGCACCCGGCGGCGCTGCAGACAGGACCATTGTTCTGTCGGCAACAGCCGCCGGAGAGGAATATAAACCAGCATTTACCAAAAAGTCATTGGGTTTTCGTCCCCAACTAGCGCCAGTTTGGACGTGAACTTGGGCAACCAGTGGAGGGCAGCTTCATATTAGAAGCGTACCAGCCTAGTTATTTCTCTAGTTGACGGATGACGATAGATTATAGCACGATGATAAATAACACAACATTATTCTATGTGTACCATTGTATTGATCTCCGTAAACTATATGCTATCTCTGTCGATGTGCGTCAATTCTAATGCATATTGCCCACATCTATATGATTTCTTTTCTTCTTGTACCTTGTACCTATGTGCACATCTATTTCTTATCTCCACCTTTCCATGGATCAAATAAACCTGTTAGTGGCGAACACGTCCCTGCCGCTGCTCAGCAAATAAGCCGGACCTTGTGTTGCCTTTGAACATTGGCGTGGGTAATTGGCAATTACCGGCGCGAGTGGGACAGTTGTGGCGCAGCTCCCTGGTGGCGCGGCGGCTGTCGGCGTCCAGTAGGTATAAGGTGCCATATCACGGTCCCCAGCTGGGCCTCGTTTCATAAAGCGAGTCCGTAACTTACGCCGGTTTTTGTTCTTGTATTGCAAGTGCATGTGAAGTGATAAATCTATTTCCCCTTCTCCCTTCTGTTCTTGCTTGCAAGATAAATAAATTCAACGATTCAAACTATCGTCATCACTTCACATGCACTTGCAATACAAGACCAAAAACCGGCGTAAGTTACGGACTCGCTTTATGAAACGAGGTCCTGGTCTCAGCCTTCCCAGTGACGGCCGCCCAGACGAGCGGGCGCCGGGCCGATAGCTGCCGCTGCAGCCATGGCTTGCTCAATTGCAGTGGTTAGTTTACTGCTTCATGTTTTCACCAACTCCGCCATGCTTACCCATCGTATTGAGCTACGCATTGCTGTACCTAACCGAAGAGATTTTCTTTTGCCAAGAAAACAGAAGCAGGCTGAACATTTCCATAAGCCTCATTTGATGACTCTGTTTTTCGCTTTTCTTTCGTCATCCCCGCGAAAAACAAGGACATTACGAACGAAGTATGATTTTCAGGACGAAAGCAAGTGTAAAAGCTTGTGTAGGTTGTCCCTGTTCTTCTGGTTGCTCTTTTTATTTCTGCCTAGAGACTCTCTGTTTGATGCGATTTGGAGTTACTCCGAAAAAAGAACATGCTCACTTTTACATAGGTATAGCGGAAATGGAGTTGAACCGAAAATGGAGTTGAACGACCTTCTGCACTTGTCATCAGCCGGCAGTATGGTACCGGGATATAATGATGAGAGCCGCGGTAACCCACCAGCTGTCCCCGCGCGGCGGGGTGTCCCCGACTGGGGCCACCAGGGGACCACCGTCACTGCTGTAATCTCGACAGTGTTGACAGTGGTCGCCGACACCAGCTCTCATAACGCCCGGCCAGCCGATCGGCTCGACAGTGCACCGTAATTTGTACGGACGGCGGTCATTAAGCGGACCGCCCAATTGGTCGGCCACAACGGCCGCAATGTGCTCCCAGCGACCTCATCTGGGGGCCGTGACAGGCCGGCCTGATGAACAGCCGTGCTCCCCGAGCCCTGCAGCTGCTCCCGGCGACCGAGATTGGCCGCGCGTCACGCCGCTGTTTAATATCGACAGCGGCGCGGCTGTACCCAGGCGCCGCCGAAATTTATGCATGCATTGTGGGCTGCGAGAGCTATGTAGCTAGTCCTGATGACATCTTGGCCAGTGAGAGTTTCATTATGGTGCTACCGGAGACGAAGGGCAAAGCATTCTTTTTCTTTTTGTTCACGCTCAACATTTTACTGGGACGCCTGATGCCGCCACCGCCAATATATGCAAACCGGCTCAAAGAGTTTTATCAACTGAACACATAAGCACGAACAATGCCAAAAGCTTTATACTCCAGTCTCCAGCCCTTAGGCTTAGTGAGCTGGCGGCGTGCCGCTTTACCTGGCCGGGAGCGTCCCGAACGTCCCGCTACCTGCGCCAGCCGAGCGGCAAACCACGCCGGCTGGCCGGCGCCGCCCCTTTCCCCGGTGCGGAGGCGGGGAGCGGCTGCACCTGTCTACAATCCACCTGTCTCCCTGCCCTCCGTCCCGCACCGCTGATCAATCGGCACCCCGGCGTCCGGAGCGGCCAGACCGACCGTACCTATACCCTGCTGCCCCTGGGACAGACCGACCGTACCTATACCCTGCTGCCCCCCTGGGGGACAGACCGACCGTACCTATACCCTGCTGTCCCGGGGACAGACCGACCGTACCTATACCCTGCTGCCCCTGGGACAGACCGACCGTCACTTTGTATAAACAGACCGCCATTGTTACCTACTGGGACGGACTGTCACCTGCTACCTACTGGGGACAGACTGTCACCTGCTACCTATTCGGACAGACTGTCACCTGTCCCACTGGGACAGACTGACCGTCAACTGCTACCTACTCGGACAGACTGTCATCTGCTACCCGCTGGGACGGATCGACCTTCACCTTCCCCCGCTGGGACAGACTCTAATACGGACTATGGCCTTGGAAAGACTGACCGAAACCTGCTACCCACTGGGACAGACCGACAGTCACCTGCTTCCCACTAGGACGGATCGACCTTAATAGTTAATATATTTACTGCCGTATAAACCGTGCTGAAAACAAAACACTGATACATGTGTCCGACAAATTGTATCTGGCGAATCGTTGGGAGAGTTGGATCAGATGTGAAGATGTGTGTTTGGAAACGGCGGAATACGGTGTTCAATTGGCCATCATTGCTATAAGAAAGACTGAAACTACGCGCAGGAATGCAACACTTCATGCGGCTTCCTTTATGGTGCAGGTGCTCATGTATAATTACCGGGGTTATTTGAAAAGTGGTCAGCGCTGGTCGGGCTCCGAATGTTAAAGGATCTACACACCGGACACTCCGAGTAACAATGATGAAGATCGGGACTCGGCTCACGGTAGATGGGGAGTGGAGATTTCGGCCAACCGGCCACCCGTAAGTCCAATGGATTGACTGCTGACAGGTGTGCTCTTACTCAATTACTGACATACCTCTGTCTCTTGTGTTTCAGGCGACGAGAGTGGCCACTTTGGGGCGTGGACGGTCTGTCGGCAGCGGCGCACCACAGAGTACCGCTGCGGTACGCGAGTCTCCAAACTACAGCCCTCCGGTAAGGGAGCGCGGTCAGGGGAGGCGCGCGCCCAGGAAAATCAGACCTGTCTGTCCGCGTGTCCAGTGGCACGAGTCCCCACATGGGTCACCAAGTACTGCATCGCGCGTCACGTATTGTTGTGCTCAGTCGAAAAGTCGCAAAACTTTACATGTGATGACATCTGGTGCTTTATGTTTTACCCTACCGAAAAATTACCGAAGTACTTTCGATAGATCTTTTATTGGCTTTCGCATACCGTCTGGCGTCTGTTGCCTCTCGTTGTGCTGCTTATAATCTCCGGGGGCGGGTACCCACTCCAGCCGTTTGTTTCATACTGATTTAAACGTGCCCGCCCTCTCTCTTGACCCCCGACTGTGGATGCAATTGCACGCAGACTGTAGGTAAACCTCATCGTCCGGTACTGTTTGAGGATAGAAAACCAGCTACTCCGCAAACAAGCCACAATATATCACTCACACCGGCGCTCCGACACAGCATACGGTGACTCCTCGGCTGGTGGATTTCGTAAACAAACCAGCCAGACAATATTTCCGCCGTCCGAGATTTACCATCTGCCATAAAGCGCACCTCTCGCTCTCGCATGGGCTGCGCCGCTGCCCGTTGCGCTGTAGATAGTATCGGCCCGGTTGCCTTCGACAGGCCGTCCATTGTGCAGTGTGGCAGGCATGGGACAGCTCTCGGCTGGAGTATTGGCACCGGCCCGGAGAGCCTCACCCTGCCGATGGCGGCGGCCGTTCCTTTCCCAGGACCCGGCGCGGCACGGCCGGTAAATAACTGCCAGCGGCCACCCCCAAAAACAGCGGAAACATGGCGCGGGATGGATGGTGCGGCCGGTCGGCTAGCATTGGCCGATATTTCATACCGGATCATTATTGAACGGTCGGAAGTGGGCGGGCTGAAGGTGACTGCTCGGCTTTCAGCAGCTCAGGCAGCTTTGATTTACGTAACTATGAATAAACAAGGCTTTCTTGAGCTTTACCGTTAGTTTATTTTATGGAGTTGAGTTGAGCGTTGTGACTCAGTGAGAGTTATCATCAAACGCAGGGTCAAAACTCGACATTCCCGAATTATTTGAGCTTAATTTATAAAGGGAGGCCAATGACGCTGATAACGCGTTTCACGCTTTTTATAGGCAACACTTGCCGATAGATTAGCACATTAACGACACCGGTACCATGTGAACTGAAGCGATGTTTGTTTGTTAACCCGGGAGCTGACTCGGAACCATGTTTGTGAGCCCAGAGGATGTCCCAGAGCGATGTTTGTCAACCATATCGCTGTCCCAGAGCGATGTTTGTTAGCCCAGGGGTCCACGGCAGCAGTGGCTTTTGACACACAGCTCCGTGCGCCGCTGCCGGCAGCAGGTGTGCCTAATTGGCACTCTCTGTGTGCCGTAACGGGAGGTCCGCCGACCGCCGCCGCCCCGACGGCACCGTCCGTCGCCGGGTATGGCGTCAACGGGACGACTCCGACCCTATAGCAGCCGCGCCGAGGTGGCAATAATGTCACCGCTAGTCTGGCGCCGGAGAGGTGCTGTCGCCGCCGCCGTGGCGTAGCCATCTCATTAGCACGGAATGTGCCCTGTGTCCGCAACAGACGGTGCACAGGGGAAACGGTTTCAGGAAGGCTCGGGAGTGGGGAGACATTCGGGTGGAGACTGAATGCCTGGGACTCGAGCCTCCAGCCAGACTTATCCACAAATATCCGGGATATTATACATGGAAAGGATATTATATCCCCTTCGTTTGATGTAGCTTCGGTTTGTTCCGAATAACTGAAGCTAAAAATGAAACGTTTTCTTTTCAGTACCTATTGTTAGTCAACATGGGCGTAACTTTGAATGTCTATGGATTTTCTACATCAACTTCTAGTGAATCTCAATCATGCGACTCACTCTGGAGCCGAGATGGACGCGCGGGTGACTGTTGGCATGATTCGCCGCTGACCCCCGTCTGTGTCTCTACACAGAGTTCACGACGGCGGCGTGCTGGTGTCTCTCTGACGTCTCTCTCTGTCTCACAGAGTTCACGACGGCGGCGGGCGTGTGCGGCGTGGTGGCCGTGCTGGTGGCCGTCCTGCTCTGCGTCACGTCGCCCATGGTGCTGGCCATGCGCGTCACGCGCCGACAGGTGGTCTTCAAGTTCCGCACGGCGCTGCTCGTCAAACTGGTCATCAGCGCGCTCGGAGGTGGGTCCCGGACGTCTCCCCGAGCGGACCCGCAACCCTTCGGCTTGTGGTAGGGAGCAACTGGCTAAAATACTAGACGCACTTCCTGATTTGGTACCATACCTACATTTGGAAAGTATTGGAAACTGCTCAGAAAAGGGCAATTGATGTGTGGTGAACGTATGCTAGTTGGTGATGTGATTTGTTAAAATGACCGATATGGACAAGAACGCCCGTGCCCATGACATCCAACGCCGCTGTGTCCGTCCCGTCTTCCACCGTTATAACGCTATGGCGTCTGTTTCAGCCACCAGCTATATGCTTCCCTCAGTTACCTAACGCTAAGGCGTCTGTTTCAGCTACCAGCTGTATGCTGGCGCTGATTCTGTTCAGTATCGACATCGACGCGCGCCGACTGGGGGAGGAGACGGGCTACTACATCCGCAAGGCGTGGTCGTTCTACCTGCTGGTGAGACTGTCCAACAAAGGCACTGGGTTTTCACAGCCGCTGTCATGCCGCTGCCGTCAGGGGCGGATCCAGGAATTTTCGGGAGGGGGGGGGGCGGCAAGTCGAAATAGGGGCGACCTGGCAATCCGGGGGCGCTCCATACAATTTACAAAGGGGGCGCCAAACCGTCAAAATCGGGAGCTAAAAGCCCGCGCCGTGCTAGGGGGCGTTATCGCGCTCCTCCTCAGGTTTTTCGCAAATATTTGAAAAACGGCTGCGCGCAGCGCCGCCATTTTCAGCATACCTTATCATGCATCTTTTTTGCACACGTTGTAAAAATGTCTGTCGCGGGTGATGGAAGGTCAGGTCACCAGGTTATGCCAAGTGACCTAGCCTAAGAAAAAGTTCAAATGCTTACCATTGCTATACCGACTGAACGATTGCTTTGAACCTTTCAGCGATTGGTGAAAGCAACACTATTCATGAAATATATATCTCGGAATTTCGATATCTGTGACCTTAGGTCAGGTCAGTTGTGCGACGTCTCCATTAGGTAGCCTAGGTATAATTAAGTCTTTGGGAGAAAACTGAAAGGCATCTTTTTTGGACGAGCGCCATTCTAGACAATATCAAGCATTGGGATACATATAAAATTAACACACTGAATAAGAACATTGCACCTAGTGTGACCACTCATTATGTCCCAAAGGTCATCCCATGTCATGAAAGGTCCGCAGCAGTTTTTTTTTAATAACTTTTGATAGATTCAAGCTAGAGCGATAAAACACCTCAGCTGTGTTCAGCTCGACGATACGCATCGACTGCTATGCAGCATGACCTTTCCCGGTTAGGTCATGACCTTGACCTGAGGTCAAATTCTCAAAATTACCCTTCATAAGGTCAACCTTTAGTTTGTTCGACGTGTCTCGACGACAGAAACGCAATGCTGGCAAACGTAATGTCGAGACTCTCTTGAGTCAAAAGTTATTGTAGGAAAACATTGTTCGTAAAAAGGCTATTTTTAGAGTCTTTTGCCCTCTGAAGGCTAAACCGTTGACCTGAGGTCAAATATGAGCGCAGCTTGCAGAAACACCTTTAAAAGGGCTATCGAATGCGCTTTTCTGCGGCGCTATAGCTATATTGGCTTCCGAGTTATGTGCCGCTGCTTCGAAAACGGAAAAAAATGTTGAAACAGGCAACATTTTACCTTTGATGACCTCTGGTGACCTGACATTCGACCTGACCTAAAAAATGACCGTTTGTTTTCGTCCTGTTTTTTTTTTTTTTGACGATCTTTCGAATGCCGCTTATCGCGTGTCACTACGCGGCCCAGGAGCCGAGTTAGACGAGGGAGTGTGCCCCCCCCCCTCCCCAGCAGGACACGGAAAACTCAGACCACCAGCACGGCACGGGTTCAAAGTCGTAGACTTGCTGTAGGCGGCCCACTTATCTGGGACGCCCATCTTCTGCTAGAAGTGCCCCTCTTCTTCCTGATGCGTCCCACTTCTACTACGAGTGCACCTTTTCTGTTAGGGCGCCCCTTTGCTGCTGAGGAGTCTTTTCTACTGTGAATAGGGCGGCCCTCTCCTGTTTGGCGACCCCAAATTCTGCTGGAGGCGCCCCACTTCTGCCCAACTTTTGGTGGGGTGCCCCTCTCTTGCAGGGGGCACTTCTCTTTTGCTGGAGACGCCACTCTTGTGGGGGCGCCCTTCCACTGCGGGGAACGTCTCTCTTCTGCCAGAGGCACCCCTTTTCTTCTTATGGGCTCCTGTTTTTTTTTCTGGGGCGAGGTGACCCTCTGCTGCTCGGAACGGGGCACACCTTTCCTTTTACTGGGTCACCGCCCCTCTGCTGGGGTTGCCCTTCCGCTGTCGTCAGGGGCGCCCCTCTTGGTAGAATATACTCCTTTTCTTTTTGTAATGGGGCGCCCCTCTTCTACCGGGGGCGCCCATCTGCTGCTGGGGCGTCTGTCTTCTGCCGGATATTGTCAATGGGGCGCCCATATCCTGTTTGGCGGGCCCAACCTCTGCTGGAGGCTGCCTATTTCTGATTAACTTTTGCTGTGGCGCCTCTCGCTGGGGCGCCCCTCTTCTGCTTGGGGCGCCCGTCTCCTACTGGAGACCCCTCTCTTCTGCTGGGGCGCCCCTCTTCTGCCAGTGGCACCCATTTTCTTATTATGGGGCTCCTTTTTTGCTGGGGCGCCCAGCTGCTGTCAGGGCGCCCCTCTTCTCGGAATGGGGGCGCCTCTCTCCTTTTGCTGGGGCGTCGCTCCTCTTCAGGGGGACACGTCTCCTGCTAAGGGTGCCCTTCCGCTGCCAGGGGCGCCCCTCTTGAACAGAAGGTATTTTATATTCTTGTAACGAGACGCCCTCTTCTGCTGGGGGCGCCCATCTGCTGCTGGGGCGACTCTCATCTGCTGGGAATAGGCAATTGGGCGTCACTCTCCTGTTTGGTGAGCCCAACTTCTGCTGGAGGCGCCCTATTTCTGCTGAACCTTTGCTGTGTCGCCGCTCTTCTGCTCGGGGCGCCCTCTCTGCCGCGGGATATGGGCGCCTTTTTCGGATGGCGGGGGGGGGGGGCGGCCGCCCCCGTCGCCCTCCCCTGGATCCGCGCCTGGCTGCCGTGGTTCTGTGGGAATTTTCGGCTCAGCGACCCGTATACGTCTCCTGCGGTGCACTTTGATTAGTCCATTGATGGTGCCTGTGTGTGTAGATAGGTGAATTAATGAGCATATGTCTTGTGTACACATGAGCTCACTCTGCTGGTATATTCAATCAACGACAAGCTGTTGCCGTTAGATTAGTATGTCAAGATGATGATGAATTATAAATACGTTTATCTTATAGAGCACATATTACTGAAGTTAGTAATGTTGAGCTTCCATCGTCCAGAGACGCTGACCGGCACAGTCCGACCATTCATGCATGATCTTGCCCTCCGCCGCATCTGACGCCGCTGTGCTCCCTTTGAGCCGCTATGCCCTGTCTGACCTCTCTGTGTCCTGTCTGACCCCACGGTGTTCTGTCGGGACCCCACGGTGGTCTGTTTTGTTCTCTCTGACCTCACTGTGTTCGCTCCGTCACCTCTGTGTCCTATCTGACACCGCTGTGTTCTGTGTGTTCGGCAGGGGGCGTTTTTCGCCCTGTTCGTGGCCCTGTGCGTGTTCTCGGCCGGTGAGTTCGTGCTCGGCCGCCGGCTCGGCGGTGATCCGGTGAAGTTCGCGCGCGACCCGAGCGGCTCCCTTGCCCCGGTGATCGCCAACCGGGCGGCGCGCCACAAGCGTCCCGTGTCGCCGCGCTCTGACGGCCGGACGGTGACGGTGACGCCGCCGCTGGCGCACGGGCAGCGGCGGCCGGCCGTCACCACCACCGTCACCACCAGCGGCGAGACGGTGCCGTACGACCCGCGCCGCTCGCCGCTCCGCTCCAGCCTCAAGAAGAAGCGGGCCGAGGCGCGCGAGAGCTCGGACGACTCGATCGACTCGGGCGTGGTGATCATCGGTAACCCGGCGCCGGCCACGCCGCCGGCCAGCCGCAGCAAGAAGGTGCGCATCCAGACACTGGACACGGCCGTCTGAGGCAACACGGACACAGGGGCGGACTGTGCACGCGTGGGTGGCTGCTGGGGGTCGTAGCAGCAGCAGCGAGCGGACGCTGGAGAGAAGGAGTTACCTAGCGGAGGTCCGGAGCGGCATGAGTGGTGATATGGGACCCAGTCAGGCCAACAGCTGAGAACTGACACAGAGAACGGACTGACTCAGTCTGACAACCGACTGAGAGGCGATCTAGCCCAGTACGCCGTCTGGGTCCAGGCTGAGCGTGCATCTCAAGCAAGGCCGTCGGCATGTCCGGAGGAGGCTGAAATGACACCCGAAGTGGTGAGCGACACCCGAGGCAGCTGGTCAGCTAGAGCTACTCTTCGAGAGAAAGTTGTCCAGGCGATCGACAGTGTCAGTCGATTCGGGCTTTTGATCCCGCCAGTCAGAATCGTGAGAGCAATTATCGATGCTGCTTGACTGCTTGAGTGCCTGGAGGGCAGCTGAAGTGGATGCAGAGCGGCTAGAGTACCTGTAGGACAGTAGTAGTACCTAGAGGGCAGCTCCGTAGTACCTGGAGGATGGCTGGAGTACCTGGAGGATGACTAGAGTACCTGGAGACTGGAGAGCCATGCTGGGGCCTTAAGAGCAGCTGACATTCCCGAGCGCTGTTCACCTCGGACGGATCGACGCAAAATGCTCGCAGAATAATAATTATAAATGACTTGTAATTAACGATGGAATTCCAAAGACCAAATGTATATATATCGACCGATGATCGATTCAATCAACAGGTGAACACTGAAATTGTGCAGAAGATTATGAGAGCTCTTGGGATACTGAGTCCCGGTTGACGTATGCCGCGAGCGGGTGTGGACTTGCCATCCGGGTGTGCTCTGACCGACACCCGGATGGGACACCCGGCTGGGACGCGCTGTGTTCATACATACACCAGCTGACAGCTCCATCTGCAGTACGGGACACGCCGAGCTCTGTGTTGCAGATGGCAGCAGTCTGAGTCTGCGCTCCGTACACCCCCGACTGTCAGTCTCCGCCGCGGGCGGTGGACAGACTGATTATACAGACTGTGTGACGGCGCAGAGACCACCGAAACGTGTCCTGGTAAGTCGTATTATCCAATGCGGCGGAAAAGACTTATTGGTCAATGACAACCCCAGTGATGAGCCCTGCTCGGGACAGCTGCGTCAGCCCCTGCTGGGTACAAAGTCAGCGGCAACCGCACGCTGCTGGAATCCTGTGATGTGTCTGACTTGGAGATGATTGCGCCAGTCTGGTCCACCAGACAATCCCATGGGACTGTGGTAATGTGATGTAGTGCGGCTGGGGCCGGGGTAGGGAGGAGGTCACAGAGCTATTTACCGTTAATTTCATTCCATTTGACGCCTGTGCACGTTGTTCGTTTTGTCACAAATGTGGGTGGGAATGCTAGACGTAGGGCTGGCCAGAAGTGTTTGATTCACAATCAGCGATCCATTGAGTTGAGCATGGAGCTCAATAGGCTGTAATCTATTTGAGCAGGTTACTGTTTACGAAGAGCAGGTGGGATATCACATCTCTGGTCAATGTTCCGTATCGACTGTTGATACCAGTTCTACTGTGTTCGCGAATGGTTGACCATTCCGTATGCTTGTGCGTGTGCTTCAGTGTGTGTTTTTGTGTTTATGTGACCTATTGATCACCGTTTTTACGTTTCATTGTGACGACATAAACGTTATTTTCTAAACACGTGTGAACATTTCTGCACTGATAGCTAGCGAGATGCCCGTTATTGCGGCAACAGAGTTGGATCGGCTTCATTTACCTGGTCTGCGATGGAAAGTGGCGTCAAAGAGTGGCGTCTTCAGTGGCAGAGACGGACGCTACATCATTTCCTACTGACGTGAGGGCGCCCTGTGAATAGCGATCACGGTCGCCATTCGCAACAGAGTCGGAATGCATTGTGGACGGTGCTCAATTTAGAGGATTTGTTAACATTCGAATCTGAATTACATCGTGCGAATTCAATTCCCTTCTTAGAGATGAAAACGTGCAACAGACTGATAAGCGTAAACTGACTTTCGAAAGCAACCGTGAACCTTTCAAAACACTCGATTACAAATGTCACGATGCTAGAGCGAAAACTAAGAGCATTCAGGCTGAGCAAAAAAAAAAGCTGTGTGAGCAACTGAATCCAATTTATTACACTGGTCAAGCACCAACAGGCGAACAATAACACCGGTCACTGGGTTGTCTGCCGACATACCGTGGGCACATACCTGCGGTTTCAGAGCTCCTCCTCTCCACCGCACTTCTCCGCCACTCGCAGTTTGGCGGAGCGGCTGCGCGGGTTGTGCGCCACCTCCTGTTCGCTGGGCACCAGCACGCGCCGGTTGACGGGCCGCCAGCGTTTGAGCTGAGCCGGCGGCAGCAGGGCCGGGTCCGGGGCGCAGAGGGCGGCGCCGTGCCGGCCGGTCCGGTGGCGCCGGCCGGCCTCCTCGCTCAGCGGGCTCGCTTGCAGCGCCTCCTTCAGCACCCGGTCCTCGAGCGAGTGGAAGGAGAGGGCGGCCAGCCGACCGGCCGGCCGCAGCGCACCGTGCGCCGCCGCCACGCCGGCCTGCAGCTGGTTCAGCTCGTCGTTGACGAAGATGCGCAGCGCCTGGAAGGTGCGCGTGGCGGCGTGCGCCGGCCGGCCCAGCTTGTCGCGCCGCTCGCGCTGGCAGACGGCGCGCACCAGCTGCGCCAGCTCGCCGGTGGTGCGCAGCGGCCGCAGCATGTAGCGCGCCTCCACGATGGCGCGCGCGATCTTCCTGGCCATGGGCTCCTCGCCGTAGGCGCGGATGATGCGCGCCAGGGAGGCCTCGGAGGCGTGCGCCAGCAGCTGGGCGGCCGTGGGCGCGTCGGTGGCCCGCTGGCCGTCCATGCGCATGTCGAGCGGCCCGTCTCGCGCCAGGGAGAAGCCGCGGCCGGCGTCCTCCAACTGGGTGCTGCAGCAGCCGCAGTCGAGCACAGCGGCCGACACCGAGCCGGGCCGAACGCCCGCTGTCGGCACAGGCCAGTGCGAGTGTATAAAGCGCACGGAACATAAAATATGGTCAGTACATATTCACAGGACATGCAGCGTACAGTAGGTCTACTAAAAAAGTCCCCCGCTCCAGAGGCGGCCGGCCGGCCGAACCCCCGGATTCCAGCCCCGACTCTATTGCGCAGGCCGCGGCAGCGACACGGGTCAGGTCGCGGCGCCCGGCGAGTGGGTCAGTTGGCGGCGGCCGGCCGTGGAGTGAGGACGCAGTGTGTGGGGCGCAGAGATGCCGCTGTGCAGAGGAGGGGAAGATAATGACTCTGCACGATGCCTGAAATGATGCCTTTGTGATCTAAATCAAACACCTGCAGTGCATATCCTCCCTTGCCTCATTCCTATTTTATCATAATCCTTCAATAATCTGTAATGGCCATTCAGCGCAAGCAAGCAAACAAAACAACCCGTTTAGCGGCCACAGCATCTCGGATAAAAAAGCGGCAGTGATGATTAGAATAGACTTAGCGCGAGGGCAAATCGAGGGGTATAACTATATGTATCACATACCGAGTACCTATTTTATTCCTATCTAGCGAATTAAGATTGGAGATCTTGTCCAACAAGTCAGCGGCCGTTCTAGACACAGAATAATGCTTTGTTTTCGGTCACATCATTATCTGCAATAATTCGAAGCGAGGTTTACCCTCGCCGGCCGAGAAGAAGGGGTGGATGCCTCCACCATGCATTTTTGTGCGGTAGCTCAAAGCACACTGATGATAGAAGGCTGACATTTCACATGCCTTACATTTCAATCAAGCCGGATCACTTGACATCAACCACGTTTTCAGGTCAGATCACTTAACTATGTCTTAGGTAAACCTCTGAACGGTTGTCGGTTATAAAATGATGCAATCCGCAATGCACTTAGTGTCGTATAAGCATAATGGGGAATTATGGAAGATGTTAATGTGGCGTCGGAAATAATCTGAAACTATACCTCAAGCACATGAAATCGTGACTTCATACATTCTTGGCAAGGTCTAATGCTTCACTTTTGCATTGTTCACCTTGCGTGACGTCATTTATGACGTCACTTGTGTCATAGGAGTGTTTCGTCAATAACTCCCGATCAAAATGAGCTAGCCAGTCTGGACAGCCATCAATGGACTTTGCAAGACTTGTCGAATCAAATGTTATGCAACATGTCCTCCTTTCAACAGCTTCGTGACCTGCGCTGCCCTAACATGACATTGACCTGAGGTAAACAAAACATCCTAACTTGCTTCACGTAAAAAAAAAAACAAATCGACGCATCTGAGAATAGAAAACACGATTGTATTGAAATGACGATAATGCGTTTAGTTATTTACCAAGAACCTATCAAATGCCTTGGGGCCCTTGACCTGCCCTAAGAGGTCACTGATATTTTAAAATGGGGTGCCAGTCGCTACGTCACGTAACAACGGAAGCGCTCGTTTTTTTTCCGCGAGGCTCTAGCAGCTAGCTCAATTATAGGAGCTAAACATGGGGTCGGGGAATCGCTCCCTTCTCACTCACTATTTGGCCGGGATAGTGTTTGCAATTATTGTTAAAATCTAGCATTTTGATATTTCAAATGACCCATTTTTTCCCGCCCAAGTCTTTCAATTCAAGGTCATAACATCAGGTTACGTCAAGTGACCTTACCTCAAGGAAAGTTCCTGTGCTCATCATATCTACCAATATATATCTCATGATATCTACCAATACGACTATAACCAATATTAGTCGGTAAATACACCGACTAACCGATCGCTTCAGAACTTTCAGCGATTTTAATGGGCAACAGTATATGTATTTGAAACGTTTACTTTGCAAGTTTGACATTGTTGACAGAAAGGCCGGGTCAACTCAAGTCAATGGGAGAAAATTGAACTGCGCTTTTTTGGACGGAACTATACTCTGAAAACATGTGGTGCTTGATGAGATACAATACTGAATGAGAAAATTGTTTGTTTTGTTGGGGGCCATCTTTTTCGGTCTGAAAAGGCCCTTGCAGAGCTATGACGTAACTATGCTGTGGTGTAGTAATTGGGTTGTGCGAGCCAGCGACGGTGATCTGCGGAAGCGAGACTGTTCCCCGTGGGACGATTGCCCTGTCGGGACGGTCCAGCCATCTCCCAAACGGTCACCCGAAGAGGATTATGTGTCCTGGAATGGATCCGACATCAACTACAGGTTGGCTGGTGGGGTGACCTCCAGTCCAGAGAGGGAAGCATGAAGACTATGTAGGGGCGATGCGGATTGGTTTTTCCTGAGGATAGCGATGACGGAAGGAATCTAGCACCCTTGAACCTTCCTTATACTGAATGTATCTCAGGCTGCGTTCCTAAAAATCTCCTAAGCGTTTTTTTTTCTCGACATCGTGAAGGTGTCATTAACAAAAATATGAAATTCGGGAGGCTAAATTAAATATAGAAAATGTGGCCATTAGAACATTATCAGTTGCGTTCAACATAACCGCAAGCATGTTCACACATCCAGCTTACATATGAGCCATGTAATAATTATTTTTGATAGACATGCTTAGTTATGAAATCATCTGAAGTGTTTGTAAAGTTCCACGATACGGATCTAATATCCTGCTATGCTATGACCATTTCTGGTCAGGTCATGTCTTTGAACATAGGCCAAATTTTTCAAATGACCTTTAAAGATAAACTTGCGATTCATTCGAAGCGTTTTGATAAGAGGAACGAAGAGGCTGGTAAAATTAATTTCATGCAAGTTTTAAGCTAAAAACTTTAAAGTGTTTGTGGAAAAGCAATTGGTTTTCTCATAATACCGATGGTGGTAGTTGTTGTTATTTACATGCTAAGCCGTTGACCCTAATTCAATCTGACAATATTATTCAGATTTCAGACATAGCGGTAAACGAGCTGATTGTTGTGATAGGTTAGGCTCTTCGGTCGATTTCAGAGTGGGAAGGATGATAGGAATTAGGAGGAGACAGGGGGCCTGGGCGGGAGTCCTGGACCTCATGCTCCGCTGGGGCCGAGCCCATCACGTGGGTTGGATTGCCCTGACACATGGGTAGCCCTGGGCGGTGTTTCACGGCCCCGCGCTGCAGCACGCTGCGCTGCGCTGCTGCATTGTTGCGGCGGTTGATATGAATTGGGCTCCACGCTAGCGTTGCGAGCCATAGGTGCGGGAGCCGGGGGGGGGGGGGGCAGTGGGTGCAGCTTGCCCCCCCCCCCAACTCTGGGGCCGTGGGGGCGGTGCCCCCACAGCTTTGAGACGGAATACCACATTGTTTTGCAAATGTTTTCTTTTTTGTTGAAAAAGCCGAGAGATGAAAAATAAGTGGCCTAAAACCGGTGAGAAAACTAGATTTGGGGGGACCCTAGGTTGATCTCTATTATGGTGTGCCCCCAGTCGGAAAGTATTTCCCGCGCCCCTGTTGCGAGCTTCCGAGTCTGTTGATGTTTCCATGGAAATTGGAAACCCAATGCACCGGTGCGCACAACGCACCCTGTCTAAGCAAAATTTTACCATCGATGACCTCTAGTGACATGACCTCTGGCTATGACCGGATCCAAAATTAGCTGAAGTATTTTTTTCTTCTTTTTGCTACTTTTGACGCTACTTCGAATACCACTTAAATGCCCAAAGCTGAGTTATAAGAATGATCCTCAATCCCCATTTCCCCTCCAACAGGGCGTGAGAGTCTAGGCATTCATGTGGGGCACGGGCTAACAATGACTATCTCATCGGCCATGAACATCTACTGCCATTCTTTAACACCGGTTTCGCTGCGCTGAGCGGTGGCCGTCCCGTTTGTCGGATTCTACAGCTGGCTGGTGGAAAGCGTTACCGGCCGCCCGTCCACCGCCCGCGGGCCGGACCGAGCGGTCCCGCTGACCCTTCCTGACCTGATACCGGCGCGATATGGGACAGGCAGACGGGGGTTCGGCTCAGCGAAGGCAGCGCCCACTGGTGCCGGGGACTTTTTTAATAGACCTACTGTACACACAGGCTAATACATCCATACGGACTACTGCAACTCAAAATATACGGCATATCTCAAACAGCCATCTCCTCAGGTACCCTTAGCCAAACGGCATACCCGAAACTGTCTGCTGATCGCTCAACTCCTACAGCACACTCAAAACTACCGATGGCTGGTGGTCGGCATAACGTTACCCACCGGACCAGCTGCCCAGCTACCCGACTGCAGCTGCCCAGCTATCCAGCTGCAGCTGCCGGCCACTGACCTTCTGTGAGGAGGCGTGGCAGCTCGCTGAACCTGCCCAGCAGCGGCACCACTCGGCCCGATCCGCGCCACTCGGCCGACAGACGGCGGGCGCGCGCGAACGCCGAGGGGTCGCGGTCCAGAGCGTACACCGTCAGACCGGGGACGGACTCGAGCAGACGCTCCGTGTGACCTGGGGGAAGGGAAGGGCAGGTCACGCCGGGACGGACTCGAGCAGCCAAACAGTGGTGACCTGAGGGTGGGTCAGACGGGTCAGGTCAGGTCAGACCGGGGACTGTCAGACACCCTGAGGGCAGGGCAGGTCAGGTCAGAGCGGGGCGGACTCCAGCAGCCGCTCCGTGTGACCTGAGGGCCAGGCCAAGACTCAGGTTAGACAGGCACTGACTCGAGCAGTAGCGTAGTGTGACCTGAGTCAGGTCAGCGCGAGTCGAACTGGGGTAGCCACTCCGTGTGACCTGAGGGCCAGGCCAAGACTCAGGTTGGACAGGCACTGACTCAAGCAGTCGCGTAGCATGACCTGAGGGCAGGGCATGCCAGGTCGGCGGGGAGGGACTCCAGCAGCCGCTCCGTATGACCTGCGTCCTGCCCCACCCTCAGGTCAGAACTCCAGGAGCTAAGCACTAGTTAGGTAATGCGGCCTGTGGACTTGTGACTTGTGATCTGCAACATAACGCCACGTTCAGCTACGCGCGTAAAGCACATATCGCACGCATATAAACTAACGCTCGCTGGAAGCTCGTTCATGAAGCATTACCCGTCCCAGAGCCTATCCCGTGCTTTTTGGAACGCACCACATCATCACTCACGTCATCGCCATGCGTCCTCACCTCCTGCACCGAACGTCATGTCAATGACGGTGTCTCCGGGTCGGAGGGCCAGCAGGGAGCACACCTCTGCCGGCATCACAGGCACGTGTGGCCGCGGTGGCAGCTCGGCTGGGGGCGGCGGCGGCTCGGCAGAGGAGGACGGCTCGACAGGGGTTGCCGGGCCCGCCGTACTGGAGGAGCGCCGACAAACGGGCCGCAGAGCGCGCAGCATCGCCCGGTGACACCACATCCTGACAACACAGGGGGAGAGAGTGAGAGGGGAGAGAGAGAGAGAGAGAGAGAGAGAGAGAGAGAGAGAGAGAGAGAGAGAGAGAGAGAGAGAGAGAGAGAGAGAGAGAGAGAGAGAGAGAGAGAGAGAGAGAGAGAGAGAGAGAGAGACAATACGATTTAACGTTAAGTGCTGCGAATATGTCTACATATTCGCGAATATGTATGTGCTGGACTGCAGTAGTTGTGACCGAAGCGGTGGGGCTACAGTGTCCTTAGAGGCCGCCTGCCACCGGTATCAGGTGCTGGCTCTCAACCAGTCGTGCAATTCCGTGATCAAACAGGCGACTGTCTCCCCACCCACAGGCCGTTTGCAGGCTGCAGCTCCCCTTTTCTATGAACTATGGCCCTTTTATATTATTTCGGTTATTCCTCCGTTCATCGAAAATGCAGTCAACTGTAAAACTAAACAGAGGCCTCTTGCACCAAACTACCTAGCTAGGTAAAATCGAAAACCGGTTTCAGAATAAGCCAATCTAACGGTGGTAAATTTGTTTGCAATAGCCCAATACATAATCCTACATGTGCTTGCTAAATTTTGCACGCAAATTGTTACATTTGACACTTGGACTGGGTATACGATGCAAAATAATCCAAGCATTGGTGCAAGAGGATTTTGGTGCAAGAGGCCTCAGTGCTTCCGAGAGATACCCTCTGCAGCACGGCGAGAAAAATAATGAGAAAATTATTGAGGGATCTCGGCTAATATAATCTGCGATTGTCCGTAGCAGGGCATGCGCACGCAACCCTCATATAACGCAAGCAAGTTATTGGAAGCATATAAATACCTAACCTTACACCCCCGGCCTATGACTAAACGCGTTGAACGTATTTCACGCACGTCTGAAATCATAGTAAGCAGGCCAGGTACTCGTGTATGAATGATCCGTGTGCTTTTGGAACTCGCAATCGAATGACGAAGCGCTAGGCAGCGATTCTGGACCGGAGTTTACAGCGCAGCCGCCCGGACCTAGCCAGCCTTCGACACCATGCAGATTGCAGAGCCCCGGTAACTCTGCATTGATCGTTCCACGCTGTGCTGTCCCCGGTATTCGACCCACGACCTGTGACCCGGTGAGATTTGTCAGCACTGAGGGCTGCTCGTCGGCCCGGTTCCCCGCACTCCCCGCCCTCCCCACACGTATCGGACCGTCCAGTGTACTCCGTCCCTCCGCGATCCCCGACCGCCCGGCTCGGCAGAGGGAGGGCCGAGAGCCGGGGACCGAGCTCCGAATAATCAGCCAGCCCCTGCAACAGGCGCGTTCAAACCAGCTCAGAACAGGCTTTGGTGGTATATTTACGCAATGAATGGTCTGGCCAGAACGAATTAAAAACACTGAGTACGAGATAACGTTTGAAGACATCACCTGGCCTGGAGAGAAAAGGAACGACTCCAATGAATAGGAAAAAATCTTCAAAGAGGGCAAATTTTACCAGAGAATACGCACGCCTATGGGTGTAAAATGACGAGGCAAAGTTACCTGGTGCTATGATTCGCTTGGTTATACGATAGTGAGCGGAATGGTACACCAGCTATGACAATGACATGACAACCACGCGCCGACAGTCCACTCGGCCGGTCGTTAAGACATCCACAGAACGTCACATAGTGAGTTCCACTGCGGCGTCCACCGCAGCGTCCACCGTCCAGCGCAGCGTCCACCGACTCCGGACAGCGGCGGCCGGTCAGCCGCCCGCTGTCCGGGCCCAGTCAGACAGTCTCAGCGCGGACCAGGGGCCGTCGCCGCCCCCCGCCCACACTAGTTCTGCATGCCCGGGCCTCCCATCATCATGGGCGGCCGTCCGCCCATGATCATCATCGGCCCGCCCATCGGGCCCATGGGCGGCCGCATCCCGCCGGGGCCCATCATGTGCGGCCCGCCCATCGGCATACCGGGACCCATCATGGGCGGGCCCATGTAGGGCCCCATCAGGGGCCCGCGCGGTCCCATGGCCGGCTGGCCGGGCCCGAGCGGCGGCCGCGCCGGCGCGCCGCCCATGTTGGCCGGTGGCGGGATGGCAGCGCCGCCCTCGCGGCCCGCCACCGGGCCCTTGCCGGCCGCGAACGGGTTGTTCTGGATCTTGCCGGCCTTGAACGCAGCCGTGGTGGCGTCGATCAGCGACTGGGCCTGCTCCTCCATCCACTTCTGGTAGTAGATTTTGACGTTCTCCTTGTGTTTGCGTCCCGAGCAGTGGGTTTTGCGCACGGACGGCGAGTCGTGCGTCAGGTAGGTGTCGCAGTAGTCACAGAAGTACTTGGGCATGGCGGCGGTCTGGAGGCTCGGCGACTGGGCGGCACGCGCCGGCTGAAACCCAGAGGGACGGACAGCGTCAGATGGGGCTGGACCCGCCCGCACCACACCACACAGGGTACATAGATACAGAAAACAATAGAACACAGACACCACGCCACTCACACATCATCCATTGCTGTAGATACCAATCAGGGTAGCAATGTGGCATTAAGCTAGGTAGAGCGCCTGAACGACTATACTCTGTTCCGTTTCAAGCTTGCAGCCGAAGTGCCCTGCTGAAAGCAGTGCGTGATTTCTGTATATACAGCTTTTACATTCAAATTACAATTTACTTTGACGCAAATTCTTGAGCAGAGGAGCGATCTGCTGGATCTGCTCAAGGCTGAAGAAACTCCGACTGCAAACTTGATATGGAACAGACTATAGACATAGTAGTACAGCTATCATCAGCTATGATCAGCTATCATATCATAGCCGGTCCACTCTCAGAACACTACATACCGTAAAGACAGGTTTAAGGTCCACCACAATGCATCAATAAAGAAAAATAGCAGAATCTCTCGATGGAAACAAACAACACCTGCGCAGATTTGTGACACAACTGCATGACAGTTAAACAATTTTACATCCATAATAAAGGCTGCTAGTCTTACAGCAAATTTAATGTTGTTTTTACGCGACAATTTGAAGATTCTCCTTTGTTTTATTCAAATCTTGACACTGTATCGTCAAAATATATTATACACCTATACCACAGGTAGATCAGGTCGTGTCTGGATGTGTGAGAGATGACAACGTGCAGAATGAACCAGGCACTGAAACATTACGATCTGAAGCTGTCTTATGAACCTAAAGTAAGCCAAAACAAGGGAAAACGTGCCACTAAAGGGTAAAAACGTGTTGTCGCATATATGCAACGAACATTATCATACACATGTATACATGTGTATGATAATTATATGTAGGTAATTGTAGTTGAGTTCATGATTTAGCTCTCTCTTTCTGGTCGAATTAAGTTTTAATTTATCGTGGATGCTCAGAACGCGTTAAAAAGGGAGTGAGCTGATAACTGGCATTACTAACCTTATATGCAAGCTGGATCTTGAAACACCAATCACATTTTAGGTCAGGTCAGGTCACTGACCTATAACGCAAAAAGAATCTTTGCACGATCCTAAATGTCGCAGCTTTGCAACGCCCTCAGGCCTCACTCAGCGCCAGCCGCCAGGGGCTATTTCGCAGGGCGATGAAACTTATTAGACGTAGCAACTTCCCCAATCACCCACAACCCGTAGGGGAGACCCGGGAGGTATGGGCCGGTATTGTGAAAAGGCAATTTTCTTCCAATGGGCAGTGGCTAGACCCGGTTTTTCACTCTGTGTGCGTGAAATTGTCTTTCGCCTGCAAAGCGTGCCTGATATTAGGCATCTGGGATAACTATTTTGTCTCGAGATAACTTTCAATAAATCATGCGCTTTTTCGATCCATCAAAATACACCGGGAGGATCTCTCTTAGAGCCCAGGAACCGCATAGGCGGCCAACATCTTACTTCATGGAGGTCACTTGGGCACATATGTATTTTGGTAAACTCATCATGCTCCATGGAATAAGATAAATAATATTTTTCAGTTCGAATGGAATTTGTAGTTACATTTTCGACCTTGCACGACAAAAATAAAACTGATTGAAGAGGACATTAAATGAAAGCAACATTTTATTGATTTAGGATCACCGGGGGTGAGTGGCCCGAACCTCCCGGTTAGGACGCCAGAATGTGCGTAGCATCTCAGCTCATAATCTTGCAAGAAAGCTTTAAATTGTCTATTCAGTCTTAATTTGCATGCTTTAAACTTTATGCTAGCGATGGTCTGACATAAAACGAGCCCGGTTCAAATTTATCACGAATTTTCTGTATGTGCCTTATTTTACTCGAAGAGGGCAAAAACGCTTTATCACCGCTCATTGCCAAAGAAGACTGAGGAAGATTTTGGAAATCACGTGGGCTGAATAACGGAATGGCTGCTACCAGTTTACGCGATCAAATGTTTTATTTAAAAATAAATGCTTAATACTTCTTCAAAACTGCGATGGCCCATACCTCCCAGGGGCCGATACCTCCCGGGTCTCCCCTTGAGATTTTTCATCAAGATCACCTAGGTCAGGCCGGTCACGTGACTACATCATTGTAAGTCAATGCGGTTAATAATATCAACTCGCGCCCCGCTAGGGGGGCGGAATCTGCCCCCCCCCCTCCGTTTTTCGCCAATAACTTCTAAACGCGTTACGCCAGCAACGTTAAAGGGACCCTCCCACCTCAACATTAGTTTTGAGTTGAGATAGCCAAGTTTGCGGCCAGGCTCAGAAACCACCATTTATCCTGGTCGCAACCCCCGCAGCTTTATGGTGTTCAAGAAATTTCTTCCCTTTACTTGCAGGGTGGGACCAGCGTGGTCCCTATCTCTTAACCATTACGGGAATCTGATGACGTCATCAGGCTTTCGAACGTCCGTTAAATGTTTGACTAAAACGTTTTGTAGCACGCGGTGGTATATGCTGCTTTGCGCGCAACAAATGCCGCACTTTCAAATAAAGTCGCTAGGAACAGCGGAGATCCCAAAAAGTAAACAAAAGTAAAAGTCTAATATCTTGAAAACCGGTGAATATTTTTCGATGAAATTTGGTAGATATTCGTTTTTGCTCTTTCTGAACCGAGCGACATCACTTTCATGCCAATTCATTAACTTTTTTGAAGGTGGGAGGGTCCCTTTAAACTTTCAGTACCTTATCATACATCAATTGAACACTTTCCCTAAAAAATTTGAGCGAAACCCGCCGGAAAATTTTTGAGAAAATGACGTATGAGACATGAGTGACGTCATGTCACGCTATTTTCGCCTCAAAAACAGCAAAACTTTAAACGCCGCTAACATCTTCATTTTTAAAGGAATCAAGACGTAACAAAAAAGGTTATATGTGATTCTACTTTGTCTATCAAATGCCTATCTTCGTTTTTTGAAAATTTTGGATTTTGGCCCAAATTGTTTCTAAAAAAACCTGACATTTTGGGGAAAATAACTGTACAATCCAAAATTTTGAGTGTATCGAAAAAACGGAATATATGTCAGAGGAGTGGTCTATGTGCTCCTAAAACCAATTTTTAGAAGAATCGGTTCAAAAATGATTTTTTTGGAAGTTCTAGACCTCGTACGGAAAGAAAAATAGCACCATTCGATTCAGGGGAGGATCCAGGAATTTTCGGGAGGGAGGGGGGGGGCGGCAAGTTGAAATAGGGGCGACCTGGCAATCCGGGGGCGCCAAACGGTCGTCAAAATCGAGAGTTTAAAACCCACGCCGTGAGGGGGGGCGTTGTCACGTCCCCCCTAGGTTTTTCGCAAATATCTTTAAAACGGCTGCGCGCAGCGCAGCCGTTTTCAGTATACATTATCAGTTAGGTATCATATATCTTTTCTGCACATGTTGTAAAAATGTGAGACCCGGGTGATGCAAGGTCAGGTCACCAGGTTATTCCACGTGACCTAACCTTAGAAAAAGTTCAAATGCTCACCATTGCTATACTGATTGAACGATCGCTTTAAAACTTTCAGCAGTTGATGAAAGCAACAATATTCATGAAATGTATATCTCGGAATTTTGATATGTGACCTAAGGTCAGGTCAGCTTTGCGACCTCTCTATTATATATACAGGGTGGGGCAGAAAGATTTACCTCTTGATTTTCTTAAATATTTCGGCCCTGAATAAAGATATCAAATTGATTTCTGGCACATTTATGCAGTAGCATGTCCACTTCTCAGCGACGGCATAATGACTCAATATGGTCACCTTTGTCCTTCACCACTGCCTCGAAACGTTCCTCTGCGGAGGGGCACGAGCGCCGCACGGTGTCCCCGCCAAGATTCGACGGTGTCGTCTCAAGGGCCAGCTTCAGGGCGGCGATTCTGCTGTGTGCTGCTGCACACACCCTCCTCTCCAAGATGGTCCAGATTGCGAAGTCCATCGGGTTCAGGTCTGGACTTGATGATGGCCGAATGTCTTTGTCCCAGAACCCAGGCATGTGGGTCTTCCACCACGGTTGAGCGATGTTGGCCGTTTGCGGCGGCGCACCGTCCTGGACGAAGACGTATCCGTCTCGGAACGACTGAGTGACCCAAGGCAAAACATGTTCCTCCAGCAGATGGACTTAAACCTGTAAATTAACTTTCACAGCCTCCTTGATGAAGACCAAGGATCCTTTTGAGCCGTCGGATGCGACGGCAGCCCAAACCAAGACACCAGCAGGCTTCTGGCGACGAAAAATGGTGCGATTTGCAGGATCAATGCTGGATGAACCATCTGCCAAAATTCTGACGTTTTGGGAGTGTCTCTGGGGCTCAAGCATGAACATGTTGTCATTGGACCAGAAGAATGCATTGTTATCGGCGCTCCTGATCTCCTCCAATGTCTTTTGGGTCCTGTGTAGCTGCTTTTCCCTGGATGCCGCCGAAATTAGGTGCCGATGTTGCACCCTGTATGAAATAAAGCCCAAGCCGTCGTTTATGATTCTCCTGGCGATTCTGGGCGAAACACCGAGTTCCCTTGGCAGTTTGCGCATGCTTCGTCTAGAACTTGAAACACCTTCTTGTGCACGATATTAACCAGCTTTTTGAAGGCAGATATTCCTTATTCTGCCTGGCATGGACTTCGTCGACACCAACTCTGTCTTTTTAAGTCATTTAATTACACTGCAAACAGTTTTTACGGCAACACCGAGCTGTTTGGCAACGCTTCAGGAGCTATGGCCACCCTACTTTAGCGAGGCAATTTGGGCTCTCTAAGTCATCTTCGCCATAGCTCACCAACAAATATTACGAAATGCAAAAACGATCCTAATGTTGATACATGAGTCAGTTGGAAAGCTGCATGCAAAATTTTAGCAAAATCCGTTCATAACTTTTTGAGTTATGGACTGAAAACCAACAGGTAAATCTTTCTGCCCCACCCTGTAGGTAAGTCTATGGGAGAAAATTGAAAGGCATCTTTTGGACGAGCGCCATTCTAGACAATCTCAAGCATTGGGATACAGATAAAATTAACACACTTAATAAGAACATTGCACCTGTGACCACTCATTAGTTATGTTCCAGAGATCAGGGAACTCCCAGGTCATGAAAGGTTCACAGAAAGGTTTTTTGTAAATAACTTTTGATAGATACATGCTAGAGCGATAAAAACTCAGTTATGTTCAGCTCAACGATACGGATCGACTGATATGCAATATGATCTTTCCCGGTCAGGTCATGACTTTGACATGAGGTCAAATTCTCAAAATTGCCTTTAAAAGTCATCATATTGTTCATTCGACGTGTCTCGAACTGAAACGTGATGCTGGCAAAGGTAACGTCGAGACTCTTTTGAGTCAAAAGTTATTAC